TATATATGCGCGCGCGCATCACTACCACCATCATCATTTTGGTATGGCTACACTCAATGGATTTATTGCTCTTGCTGTGTCTCCACCTTTTTGGATTTATTGTTCTAACTTTATTTTCATGGGAAGGTGCACCGGATTTATGTCAAAAGTAACGTAAGAGATTCAATGGACTCCAAATAGTATTTTTGAAAGAAGAGAACGTGGATTCAAAAAAGAAAAGAAGAAAAAAAAGGATTTTAGCATCAAAATGGTGCATCAAGCAGGACCATCTCGTGGATGGAGTGTTTGCCCTCTATCTGCTCCACCATTTCTATGACACTATCACGTGATGCAACACGTGCATCCACGTAATCAACATTGATAATTTGGTACAAGTTGCCAAGAACAAAAAAACAAGGATCAAGAGGGGAAAAAAAAAATCTGCCTTCTGGTTTCAAATTTACGTATAATTAATCATGCCATCACATGCTTTTGTGCAGGAACCGTTTTTATTCAACAAGGATAATTTGATACGCATAGTAGAAATTGATTCTGTATTCCACTCAAGTGTTCATTTCCTTCGGCTTATTCCTCACAGACCATCAAGTTAGTTTGTCTTACTTTGGTAAGCGGCTAACCATAAAATAAAGAAAGTAAAAAAGAGTAAATCGGGAAGTTAGCTTGCAATTCCTGATTATTATTATTATTATTTTCCAGGGAAAAAAAACAAAAGGGAACTTGCATTTAGTGGGAAACTCGTGTGTGTGTGTGTGTGTGTGTGTATATATATATCGGTGAAACACGTATTAATCAGGGTTAAGTACTTGTGTTTTGATCAACTTTGCAACAGAAATGGCTTGGCAAACAGGTGTTGTATTCAGCTAATAACACAATACACCTGACTCTATCAAGTTTTACTCGTGGATAAGAGTGGCAATGAAGACCGAACGTTTTTTCATATTGATCATGCACATTTCAAATTTCACCAATTGAAGAAATTTGTTTCAAGCATTCTGTCATCTCATTCGCTATGTTGAAAGATGCATTTTACCATTTTTTATGATCACATGCATCGCCATTAGCGTCTATAGAGAGGATAAGAAATGTCAGGGACGTTTGATTAGAGGATTCAAATCATGATTTGAATCATAGTTTATGATTCGTTAAAGTATTTTCTCTCACAAAAAATATACCTAAATCGAAAATGATTATAATCACATGATTCTAATCTATGAACCAAACATCTCCGTAAAGTTTGAATTTGTTACCCCAAATTCAAAAGAAAAGAAAGAGCGCGTTGGTCAATTAATCCACAAAGTCAACTCCCTCTCCACAAGGGCATTTCATTTGAAAGAAAGGAGAAACTAAGAAAAGGGAGGGGGAAAAAAAAGAGGCTCCATATTGGCCCATCGTGAAAAAGACCTTAATTTGAAGTAGACTCTCGTCCCTGACGCCTGATTTAGTGGCAGGGAAAAACCCCACAGCCACCTTTACATATACTGATTATTAGCAAAGAAAATAATAATAATAATAATAATACACGACCACATGGTCATATTTGATGATTTCAAATTTCAACGTTTTTTTTTAATCCAATGAGTATAACAAAATCAATCAGAAAAAAAATAAGAAAAAATAGAGAATTTATCCTTAAGAGTCTAAGGCCCCATTCATTTCGCTGATTCGAATTTAGAATTCAAGTTTTTCTACAGTAAAAAGCTCTCACAAACAATCACATCTAACTTTTTTACTACAGTAAAAAGCTCTCACATAAAATCACATCTCAACTCAAATTAAAAACTCGAATCAGCGAATTAAACGGACCCTAAACCTTTATTATTTACACATTTTATTAGTGTAATTATTTAATTAAAAAAATTATAAATTAAGAGTAGAAAATAAAAATTTGATTAGTACATTTTAAAAAAATATTTATCAAAATTACTCAAAAAACAAAGCCTTCTTTTTTAGCCTAGAGCAAAACATGGTACAGGCCTGTGGCAACAACACATACCCAAATTCTTACCTAACAGGCCCCATCATCATCAGGATAGTAGGATAGTGAAAGTGATATTGTTTCAGCATTTCAGCTCTAGAATCGAGTATAATTTTTGAAACGAATTATAAAATAATTAGTTCAAAACCATGATTTATAAATTTAAAATTATAATTCATGATTTTAATTTTTAAAATTTAAATTTAAAAAAAAAAACATTATAAAAAATTAAAAATTATAATTTAGAAACGACCAGACATTCACTTGAGCAGTCATGAAAAAAAAAAAAAAAAAAAAACATTCTTATAAAAGAAGAAAATAGTAGCATTTTGAAATGGCTACTTTTTCCCCGTTATATATATCAAAGAGTCCCATTGTAAAGACGAAATCAATAAAGTAAAGATGAACGAAGGCACTAGAAGAGTAACAAGAGTAACTCCTAGTGCCTTCTTTTTTTTTCCAATAAAAAAAAAAAAAAAAAAAAAAAAAGAGTAACAAGAGTAACTCCTACCGAAAAGGAAAATGCCACAAGTGATAAAGATTAGCTAGACGCTTGAAATGGCTGTAAATCTGATGTATCACTTTTCCAGAACATTCACTTTTCCTCCGGGACATAATAAAGTGAAATTCTATATCGTGATGATACAAGAGACTTTGAACTTTACTGGATTTTCAAAGCATCAACTGATGGATGTCACCTATTTGGTCCTTGCGTAAACCCCGACCCAAAACGGAGATATAAACTTCAGGCATCATGGCTTGTGAAGCTTGAACCCAAACACTCTCGGGACATAATTCTGCGACGATGCTTTCGTTGGCTTTAGGTGACCATATGTCATCAAGAACAGGTGAGGAAATGTAGTTCCAAAATAAGCTCCATCAATGTCTAAATAGGGTTAAAGAAACACTCAAAATCACTCCAAAACAACGCCAAGTGAACACCGTGTTGCACCACGAGTCAATCCAACCACATAAAGGCAAGTATTATTAGTGTTGATTGATAAGAAAACAAGAGCACATTAGACAGGATACTTCAAACGCATGAATAAGCTGATTCAAAGCGATATATTAGGTTATACAAATAAACTGCAACTCCTGATGGTTAAAAATACCTTATTCACTTAAGACCTAATATTCCTAATTTTTCTATCTAGTAATTGCATACAGCTTCTTGTTAATTTGATATATATACCGGCACTGCAAGGATGTAGATGTCTTTCTACCTTCACGGAGATAACAAAAAGCATTGGGAAATAATTAACAACCAATAGCTATACCAGACCCTTCAAATATAAGACTTAAACATCTATGTTTATTCCCACTGAGATAAGGTATCACTACATTCCTCTAGATCCTCATTAAAAAAATAAAAAATAAAAAATAAAAGAAGAGCAGCAAGCAATCCTTCCCACTCAAAATCGTCATGCTAGATTCACAAAGAAAAAAAAAAAAAAAAGGAAAGGTCAAGAAGTAGACTTTCAATGAGATTCATGTTGATGAACTGCTTATATGAAGCCAGAAGCACTAGGTTCAACAAAAAAGTAAATAAAATAAAATAACTAAAAGGATACTGCCTTGATACTTGGATCGAGGGTAGTAGACATCTTCACATCTGGGGCAATATATTTTTACAGTGGTTGATCGCGGAATGTCTGATTGGCCAACTGGAAGGCAGGGTTGTCCACAACAATAGACTCTTGGGCATCTTCCGAAGTCAAAGTTCTTGTACTTGTCTAGCTGTAGATATTCCAATAGTGTCATTCTAATCACTACATAAGTTTTCAAGAAGCCGAAACATGAAATATGACGAGTAAGGAATCAAGAATGAAACCTCACCATGGCATTCATGCCTTTGCCGGTCAAAATGTACCGAGCATGAATTAGACCATAAAGCATCTCTGCTGCTGACTCAATTAATTCATTTTGTTCCTCTGTAAACACGTCACCTGAATGTAAAGCAAGAGATATAAATGAATGATCAAATCATACATAACCAATCTACCTATACTTAATATTAGGCGTAACGAAAAAAGAATTTTCAGGAAATGCAGAGATGACTTGAGGCCACAGAAAATATGTTCCAGAATAACACAGCGAAATCAACTTAGCCATAATGTCAATGCCACAAATCCCAGGAAGACAATGTAAAGATCCAAAATATAAAATTGCATATTCTCAATACACACAGGCACACAGCTAAAATAAGAAAAACTACTAACAAAGACAAGCTTACCATGAGAAGATTCAACGTCCAATATCAAATCAAGTGCATAATCATAGTACGGCACTTGACTGCTTAACCCACAGAGGTTAAAATCATCTTGAATGTAATCATCATCAACTTCACAAAAGAATTCATTCCCTCGAAGATTGCAAAACCATGAAATCCAAGATGTGTCATCCCCATCAGAGCCACTAACATCAGACTCTTCACTGTCTGTTTCAGATTCCTCTACGGTTGGTTAAATAAATATCCATGAGTAAGTGATGAGAATGGCACATACATTATAAGGTGAAGACACCGCAAATTGTAAGGCAAAACGTCTAAACCAAAAAAAGGTCAGCTATTGTATTTGAGGGAGAAAAAATACAACAAATTATAAACTATGCAAATATGTTACTATGAATTCTATGATAATCAATAAAGACTGCAACAGCATAAGTATCACTTACACTAGTAGGTGATAATGACACAAGTTACACGCTTATATCATTCTGAAGATTTTCATAAGGATACTATAGCCAAATGAGTATTCAGTGTTCCTCTCCCCGTTTAAAGAACATTTCAAAGGCTCTTTGTACATAAATGCATTAATTCAGCTCCTCTAACATGTTAATCAATCATATTCACTAATAAAATTTCAGTTTACATCACTGGCACTCATTGAGTAGTTTAATCAATTGAACTGATAAAATCAGAGCAAACCCACCGTCCCACCCAACGCCAAACCACAAAAAAAAAAAAAAAAAAAAAAAAAAAAAAAGGAGAGAGCTTTAACAATTAGTGATGGTCGAATTTAATCTTGGGACTCAACGAATTTGAAGATGACAATACATTTTATGAAGAAAACCTACCAATAATCTACTATAGAGCAAAAGTTCATGTACTTCCTGCAAAAGCACTCCTTCATTAGATAAACAAGTGTGTATACTTGAAGAATGAAGTGATATTGGTTACAATTACACGGCCATTATCATGCTATAACTCAATAAATAAACGATTTTCGGAGGTTCCCAACAGGAAACAATTTTCCAAGACGATTGGTTACTTTCAAAGGAAATAGTACCTTCTAACTTTTTCCTTCACATCCCTTTTCTTTTCCTTAAGTTCTTCACTCTGACATGAGTTCACATGCACGTTTGGACCAAAGAAGAGAGCTTTTCACTCCAATAAATTATAAAGCATAAACTTTTGCCCAAAAATACCGTCAAAAAGAGAACTACAGGCGAAAATCAAACAAAGTGTAACAGAAATCTAAAAAATCAATGAAACCCTGTATTCCCAAAAAACTCAAAAATTTCTGCTTAAAATCACAACTTTTCGATTCAATGTCTTCCCAAACTAATCAGAAAACCAATCAAAATTCCACACCAGGCTAAAAGTAAAAATTTTATAACTCAGTTCGGAATGTAATCTGAAAGAGAAGAGGTTCATGAATATGGGAGAAAAAAAGGGGCTAACCATCGGAGCAATTGGTTTTAGAGAGAGAAGCAGAGCGAGAGTCCCTCTGATCAGGTTGAGCCTTCCCCATGAGAACCGCCTGCGTCTGCTTGCTGTCCCTGCCGTTGATCCCCGCCGCCCTAGACGTCGACGGCGACGATCTCTCCAGCTGCTTGTCCAACGCCTCGTTGATCCGCTTCCGATCAACCGGTCCCACCTCCGTCTTAGACCCACCCACTCTCTCTCTGTACATTCTCCTCTTCTCCACCACCACGACCACCACCGACTCTCTCTCTCTCTTCTTCTTCTTCCTGCTCTTCTTTGCCTCGAAATTCTCACTCAAACATTCCTCGCCCAAAACAGAAATATTTCCAAAAATAGGAACTTTCAAAAATCAAAATCCAGGAACGAAACGCCCTAGGGTTTTGAGAGAGGGATGAACAGCGAAAGCTAGCTTAAACTCACTTTCTCTCTATATATCTATAGAGTATAGACTGTATCTAATATCTATATATATGTCTCTGTATACGGAAAATCGTTTTCGGCTTTAGCCTATAGAGAGACGAAAAACCAGCAGCGGCGGAGAGAGAGAGAGAGAGGCATTGGCTTTAAGAAGCCTCTCTAAGCTGTCTTGCGTGTGATCGCTCAGATTCTTCAGAAACGGTGTGAATGGACACGTGGCGAGATCTTGGTGGAGACTATGGAGAAAGAGGTTGTTGCCTTGCACGTGATTTACACCTAAGGGCCATCATCATGATTTGGGAATCAATGGTTTATTATTTATTTGTGAGGGAGATTTTTTTATGTTACAGATATTTTGTGTTTTATTGTTTTTTGTTTTGTTTTGTTTTGTTTTTTATTTTATTTTATTTTTGCAAATTTGTTTGTGAAAAAATCTAATGAAAAGAAGAATTCATGATTTTGCAAAGTGCAATTAATAAAGAGGGATTCTACCAAAAAATAATAATAAATGAGAGGGGAAGTCACGGGAAGGGAACGGACCACAGCACAAAAAAAGGAGCTTGACATTCCTCATGTGGGACCCATGTCGAACTGCCACGTCATCATCGTCGAGCAAATTTTTGGGTCACGTGCGAAGCAGCAAGCTTGAGGTAATTCCACGTGGAAATTTGGGACCAATTTTGAATTTATTTAAACTAAAAATTTGGACTTTGCAGTGCACTTTAGGAGACGTTTGGTTCATGAATTAGAATCATAAGATTAGAATTATTTTTGATTTACGTGTATTTTTTATGAGAGAAAACGCTGTAACGAACTATGAATCATGATTCGAATCGGGGTACGAATCTCTCAACCAAACAACTCTTAGCTACTGGGATTGTCGTAGAATTCTTGTTCAAAAGTGGTATGGTCTTTTAATAATAAGAAGCTTCATCATAGTTATATTATATATATAAAAAAAAAAAAAATTCACAATAATTTTCAATAGGGGGCCAATTGAGAAGCACCATGCCAAGGAACAATATTGTTAGTCAACGATTTAATCCCGTGTTCCCTACTTGTAATTGTCTTTTGAGGTGGATTTAATTTTGAAAATGAAAACAAGGGAAATAATAATATGATAGGATTCCCTTACCGGTAGGCCATAAATATTTTCATTATCGAGTTTCATCAATTTACCATGTTTTTCTAAGCCAAGTATAATTTTAGAAGCTTTCTACAATAAGATACTCCTCTAATGGTGCATGTTTCTCAATATTATATATGATCAAATCAAATTAAAATAAAAAATTGACAAATTTTGATACATATATAGTTTTTATTTTTTTTTTAAAAAGGAATACATATATAGTTTTACAAACATGACCTCGGAAATCTTTTTTCGCATCTTATTGTAAAATTCTCAATAAGTTTGTGTGATTTGATAATTAAAAATTCGTTATAACTTGTATCATTAGGGTATTGTTTCCATACATGGCCACAATTTCCTAAAATAAAAGGAGTTAAAAAAAAAAAAAGAAATCCTTTTGATAATTAGAATTGTATCTTTCCTTTGTTCTTATTTCATTCTCTTGTACCCTTCCTTTGTCCTCTACTTGAAAATAAGACAATTTAATACCATTTTTGGTGTATACTAAATCCATACAAATTCAGGTTGAAAGCGGCAAAAGTATTTGACGTCTCATGAGCTCCTAGCCATGAATCATTAGACTCCGATTTGCATGTTACTAGAAGACCATTTTAGAAGTTCGAACGAAATAATTAGATAGTTAGAAAGGAATTTTAACTTGCTGACTAAATCATATTACCATTTACTTACAAAAATTGACCTGTGGATTTCAACGTTCACAAATCATCAACAACGACTTGAAATAAAAACCGAGATGTGATACCAAATTGTGCAACTTATGACAATCATTAGAGAACAAGAATAAAACATAAAGATATGGCGTTAACATGCCAATAATCTCCCACTCAATGGCTTCTTAAAAATCTCGTGTAGGTATAAGAAATTGGTCTTAATATTTACAAGGCTGAAACAAGAATAAAATACCACTTGCATGAATATTTTTTAAGCATATGGCATAATCTACCGGATTCTCATTTTGGGTCGTTTTATCCTCCTTTATGGTTTTGGCAAATTGGTCACTTTTTCACAACTAATTCTGTAGAATACAAAAAGCAGAAGCCACGCCATACTAGATTTATGTATGAGCTTTTTAAATGATTCCCAGCAAACAACTAAAAACAAAATGCTGCCAAGATGACATTTACAGAGAGCTACTAACAAGTACTTAATTACAGTCAATTATACTTAAACATGGTTAAAACTCTAGTAAACAAAGAGGATTATGAATTGGTCCATCTAGCTAAGTAGCTTCCACTCTTCTTAATCTTCAGCAAAGTACTTGTCCTCCGCATCATGGTTGGCTTCCCTCTGCCAGTGATCATCCAAAGTCTCGTCATTGTCTATTTTCGAATAGTCTAAATACTCGGAATCTTCCCCTAATAGAAACTTCTGCTGCATGATGTAGGTAAATTGGTCCATCTGATCTTGCATCTCTGCATCAGATAACAATGGTCGCTCACTGCGCACTGCTGTGGCGGATTGGGGACCGCTGCTCGCACTGTGATGATCCAAAGGCATCTGTAGGCGACAAAGGAGAATCACACTATGAGTCGATACAAAAGACATTACGGCAGTAGCAAGAGAGATCCACTACGAATGTCTACAAGATACAAGAACTTTAAAGCAAAATTTAAGAATTAATGTGACAAGTACACGAAAAGATCAAGGAATTTCTTGAGTTAAGATGTGAGGACTGAGGAGAATGATAGATGAATATACAAAAGTACGGACCAGGTTGAACTACTGCTATAAACTTAATAGAATAATACCAACTTAGCAAGTCCTTTTGTGTTGTGTAAAACACGTGATAAGAGAGAAACTCCAAAGAAGGCTCAGTAATTTTCAAATATATGAACCAAAATTAGAAAGTGAAACCCTGTGACTAGATCGTCCTGAAGACGGATGCGACGGGAAGAAGTGGCATTTGGAAGTGTTGCTGACTTAACATTTAGGTTTCGGCATAACAAAGCTTGCACTGTCTTTTCGCACTTAGGCGCACAGCGTGCCATTGGTAATGATTCTACTACGGTGCCACAAATTTGCAAACTGATCCTAAGTAATCATTGTTGTTCATTGGATTCCAGAAGAACTACTTCGTTAGGATTGAGGAATTGCTGCAATTCTTCCTGAATAGCTTGGATTCTCCCGTCGAGAGTCACTTTGAAAGTATTACCTAAACTCTTCCGACTCGCTACTATCATTTCTTCATTATAGATTGAGATCTTCTTCGAACTTAATGCACAAATAGATAGAATAGCAGCAAATAGCATCTTTCTAGCCTATATATTCGTGGAAGTCAATCTCATTTTGAAAGCTTATCTCTATTTTTCAACAACTGAACGTTTAGGAAAGGACTTTTTCATCGGATGCGCTCGCCCAGCGAGAAAGGCCTTGACCCTGCCAACCAAGTCAAAAAAAAAAGAAAGAAGAGAACTTCGTATTTTGGTAATTCTCTAGGAGTCATCTTTAACCTTGAATGCTATTAATAAATTCTACAGCAATAGTCCCTCGGACTCGGAAAGTAATAACGAAAATGGGTAACCCAATAGTAGATTCCGCAGCTGCCACCGTTAGAACCAATAAAGCAAATAATTGACCCATCATATCATCCAAAGAAACGGAAAATACCAAAAAGTTCAAATTCACAGCTAATAACATTAATTCAATTGACATTAACATAATAAGAATATTTCGTCTATTAAGGTTGATTGAGTATGACACTCTTATAATTAGCAAGCGCTAATCTTTCTTTAATGAATGAATTGGCGCAATCACTCTTGTCGGAGCCTTCTTCTCCAAGGAGACTCACTCAAGAAATTGAAGCATACTGGCACGGTGAGGGAATATGTGAAAGAATTCAGTTCCTTGATGCTTGACATCAAGAATATGTCCGAGGACGTACCGTTGAGAGAAAATAATAATAATAAAATAATACTAATGAAGACTTTCATTCTACCATACATGATGGAATGTGCGTGCGTGTGCATTATTTCGTACACAACAACAATGGATAGTTACCTCTGTAGATTTTGAACCTTCATTTGCCTCTTGTTCTTCTTCTTCTTCCTCCTCCTCCTCTTGTTCTTCTTCCTCCTCCTCCTCTTCTTCTTGCTGGTTTCTCTCATTACCAACCCAGTCACTCTCAGCAACACCCAACCTCTGCTGCTCCCCTCTAATCTTCGCAACCAAAATCGCTTCTTCTGCTCTTCTCAACAAAGTCTCTGACCACCTTTCCCCTGGTCGTACCATGTTCCTGCCACTCAGATCCTGAAACTTGCCTACATACTCATGATGCAAATACGGCTCTCTCTCCCTCATTGCGTCCTCAGAGAAGTAATTTCCGTCACATATCAATTTATCCAGGTAGGCGCGCCTCCGATTCTTCACCATCACCGATTTCGACCGCAACTCGTCAGATGTTGGACTCATTATCCTTCTCAGACGATTCAAATGCCAATTAACCTCATAATTGTCTTTGTGCTTATCAAATTCCAGAAGCTCTTCGGATGTTAATTTCGATCCATAGCGTTCTTCATCAAGTCAAGGGAAATGGGTGTTCGTTAAAGTTGAAAATTATTCAAAGACTGTTGGATACAAAAATTGGAAAGGAAGTACAATATTTCATGGTCTAGTTCATAAGGTGAAAGAATTAATTGTAGAAATGCCAAAAAATAAAAGAAATTTGATATTCTTATTCAATTGCCTGGGATTCTGAGAACAAAAATGACCAATCAAATAAGTCCAACTCTAAAGCAGATAGATAACCCTAATTCGGCATAACATAGAAAATCAAAATCTACAGGGTCCAATTCATCTTCCCATTTTCAATTTTCCAAGCAAAGCACAACAATCAAACAAAAATAAGCACAGAATAAACTGAAGACCACCAAAAGAAGTCTCAGAACAAATTGTGGTTCGACCTTAGCGCAACACATTAGAGATAAAAAGTTTCTTTCGTTTTCCCTTCCTCTTTATCCCGTCCTCCTCTTTCTCGGATACCAAACAGAAGCTAGGCCTAAACAGTCAAAAGAAAGCTACTATACTAGAGATTGCAAAAATAGATGAATGGTTACCTAAGAAAACGGCGACGTCGCGGGAGAGGAGGTCGGTTAGGATGAGCTTGCGCTGGGAAGGATTAATGGCGGTGGGTTGGAGAGCTCGAGGAAAGTAAAGGTCCTCCATTAAAGAAAGCCTCTCGGCTATGCTTTCCATGGCTTCGATTCTCTCTCTTTCCTTCTCAGGAAAACTCTCAGCGTGTGGTTGATTACTTCCAGTTTCCACTTCGCCGGAACTCTCAAGTATTACATCGTAACTCGCGAAGAACGCACGGATAAAGGGTATCCCGGGCGGTGATGATGGAGTTCAACGCTTGATAGTCACGTGAGTGTCACGTGTCTTCTCATAACGTCTTTTCCCTTTTCTTTTTTTCTATTTTGATTATTTGTGTCACTAAATTTTAGGGTTTTTACCAATTTACCTTTTAAATTTTAAAATTTTTTAATTTACTCTTTAAATTTTAAATTATTTACACTTAATTCATTTTATTGTAGTTTTTATTAAAAGATATTAAAAAAAATAACGTAATCACATAGTCTTTTTATTTAAATTTCTATTAAAAACAAACATATAAAATTAAATGATTATACTTAATCTTTTTTTTTTTTTAAATAAAAAAAATCTTTACAAAAAAGTTAAGTGGGATAAATTCAAAAATTCAGGGGGCAACGCTTTCAAAGTTTAAAAAATAAAATAAAAATGAGCTCAAAATTTAAAAAGTACCAATGAGAATAATTCTTTTTTCTTTAATAAAACTCTCATTAATCATTACATCAATGCTCAATTCAAATATTTATCCCAAAGTCATATTTGGCAAAAAAATGGCATATTTTATATGTTATTTTATTTTGTGCGTTTACACATAATGCTATTCCACACATTTGTTTCATAACTTTAAATTACTTTTTAAATCTTTTTGTTACACTGTTTTATCACATAAAATTTAAGTTTTTATTCAAATTTTTATGTTCAAAACATGACCGAAATGGGCCCTATGTTTATTCTACAATTTGCAACTTGTAAAAATAAACGTTTAATTGTAAAATAATTTAAAAATAATAATGTTGTAATGATTAAATTTAAAAAGTGAATAAATATTGCAATAACAATTAAATATTATAATTTAGCATGGTTATACTTGATGCTAAACATAACACTCGGCGTAATATATGCTAAATTATTACAAAAAGTAACATGCTTTAAAGAGTGGTTTTCTAGTTTGACATTGCATTGGATATGATCCTCTTATTGTTTTAGTTACCTTATATTTGGGCTATTAAAACTCATGGCTTTTAAGGATATGCATTTGCCTTATTTTGTTTCTCGACGTTTAATTGTAAGCATCTAACTACAATGACATCTTTAAAATGTATGGTTTTGACCACTCGGTTAATAACCTGTTTATTTTCTGGCATCATGTAGCGTATGGATGTTATATGAGAATTTTAAGAGGAATAAAATGGTTAAGAAAATTGAAAAGAAAAAATAAAATCTAAAGTATTATTATATAGAAGGAAAAATAATAGCATATCTCAACTGAACAACACAATCTGATTATTTATTTATTTATTTATTTAAAGTCTAAAAACATTGTCGTTAAAAAAGTGAGGGGAAAATTGCAATTGTTCTGTGATTTGCCTCCATCAATTTAGTTATCTAGTTTTCAAGATAAAAAAAAAAAAAAAGAGGATGATTCTATACGCATATTCTTTTTTACTCTCTGCATCCCTCTTAAATTAAAAATTTTTATTACAAAAAGACCCTAAATAAAATGACAAAAAAAAGTGCGTGGAGAGTAAAAAATGGGGTGTGAATCACTCAAAACGACATGAACATCATCATCTTCATTCTACTTTCAATATATAGTTTAAAAAAAAAACGACATGAACGTCATCATCTTCATTCTACTTTCAATATATAGTTTCAAAAAAAAAAAAAAGACAGTAAAAAAAGCAATAATCACCTCTAAAATCCAATTGCAAAATAAACTTCACATTTGATGGAAGCTTTCATTCACAATAAAAGCATATCTAATGCCATGTTAAATTAAATTTAACATTTGGGCAAGAAATTTACTCACCACTGCTATATTATTTGTGGTGTTAAATTTAACATATACTATACTTCTTACTTCTTAGTAAATTTTTGTGCCAAATTTTAACATTTATTTGTTATTAATTAATATGTTCAACTTTTCATCTAATCCTTGGTGATTGATATTTTCAAATTATTAAAATTAGGCTACAAACGTTTCTGTGTCCAGTATTGATCGAGAGAGAGCTAGATAGAAAATAATAACTTGATAAAAGTTTTCTCAAAGGAATCGTACCAAAAAAAAAAAATAATAAAATAACGAAAGTAAAAAAGAAATCAGATCTGAAACCGGAGAAAAAAGAATCATTACTCCCAAAAAGATTGAAAGTGGGGGAAAATAAAAAAGCACGAAAACACGAAGATAAGCAGGCAGATCAATTGACACGTGCCTATTTCTTCTCTTTTTTTATATACTTATAGGATATCTGCTTGCTTCACATATCAAAAATCCCATGATTGTTAATTTTACTCGTTCGATTCATTAATAGAAATATTATTTTTACATCGACAGTAAACACTGTTAAATTTTCCTTTCAGCTCACACCAAGTGGATAGAATAAAAAACAAAGCGTTCTTAAATTTTAAGTTTTATATTGTTTGATGTTTAAAATATTATCACACGTTAATTAATGAGTAAAATTGCATCTATTAATAAAAAGATTACAACTCATACTATATTAATTAATACACAAACGAGTTTGAAGCATGATCCAGCAATCTTTTAATCAATAGAATTTTGAGAAAATTGTACGATTCTATTTTGTTTGATACGGTAGATGAAGCGTAAAGAAAAAAGACACAACCGTATTTAATTATCTAATTTGAGTTTTTAACTTGAGTTGAAAAGAAAAATTACGTGAGAGAAAACACTGCACATAAAAAGTTAAATTTAAATTTTCATTAAAGAAATATTGTAGCAAAAATTTGAGTTGTGATTCGAACCAACAAAACGTACAAATAAACTTTTAAGTACTTTTGTATCTGTGAGCTCTCTCTTTAATCTCCCCAATTATTGAAAGAAAACAATTGTTGTTAATTTTCATGTTTCATTGTCTGAACCAAGAATTAAAAGAACATGAAAAGGCTTCTTTCACTTCGCCGATTCGAGTTTAAAATTTAAGTTTTATTACAGTAAAAAATTCTCAGAAACAGTCATATCTAACCTTTTTGTTACAGTAAAAAGCTCTCACATAAAATCACATCTCAACTCAAATTACAAACTCGAATCAGCGAAGTGAACGGGCAAAAAATTCTCTCATTTCTCCATCAATATAATTAGAAAAAATAAATAAAATTATTTTAGTACTCTATGTTATGACAAAACATGCTTTTAGTACTTTGTGTTTTTTAAAATATTAAAATAGTACCTTCATATTTTATAAAATATCTTCTAAGTATATGAGACTCTTGTTTGGAACATAAAATGTCATTTGTACTCTTATATTTAATTAATTACAAACTAAAAAAATTTAAAGTGTATAAGTCTGAGCATTTATCTTTTATTTTTAATAAATATTTTTTAATTAGTGTAATTATTTAATTAAAAATATTATAAATTAAAAATAAATGATAAAAATATTAATTCATGTACTTTTAAAAAATATTTGTTAAGATTATCTAAAATTTTACAATTTTACAACTTTACAACAAAATATTTTAAAAATTTTAAATTCATATTTTGATCTTCTAAAAAAAATAAAATATTTGAAAAACAAAAAAACAAACGCCTTTCCAAATCTCAAACTCAAAACTCAGATTCTTTGGGGAAAAAAAGGTCTCAAACCAGAAAATTTATCAGATCTTCCCCCTCCTTCCCGTACAGATCGGTACAAAAAAAAAAAAAGACCAAAATCAATTCAAAAACCAAATCTATCACACTGCTCAATTATCTCATTGCCCGTCGACCACTAATGATGTTCAGAAACTTCTTGATGTGCAGAAACTTTTAACTTTGTTTAGATGTGGGCTAGAGGAGATGCAGTCGGAGGGAGCTTCAGGGGGCACCGAAGGTGGGTCTATTGCGATGTACAAATCGTCTCTCGTCGTGGATGGGTCTTGCGACCCATGAACCATCGGCTTCGGTGGCTTTTGCCCGCCTTTTCACTGCAGCTGGGTCGCGAGTGCGGGTCTCGGAACCCACCTTTTCGCCTCGCCTGTGATGTCTTCAATGACAGATTGGGGGCAGCGCGATCTGCGCACCGACCGGTTGGGTGAGGTTGAGGACGATAAGGGTGGGGCGACGAGATCTGGGCATCGACGTCGGGGTTGAGGACGACGAGGGTGAAGGTGGCGGAATCCACTTTGATCTTGTTTTTCTATTTTTTTTTTTTAAATTCAATAGAATACGATTTATTTTTTATTTTTTATTTGTTTTCAGACTTTTTTTAGAAAAATTATTGGTTTATATTTAATTTATAAAAAGGGTAAAAATGACAATTTACTCACAAAAATTGACCTCAAGATACCAAAAAAACATACTATTTTAATATTATTAAAAATACATTATACTAAGAGCATATTTTGTTATAACACTATCAAAATAATTTTATCCCATTAGAACATTTTTAATACAATATTATAATTAATTTATCAATTGTAAATTTAATATTTAAGTGTTAAAAACACTCCAATACAATGTTATTTGTTGTATTAAATTTCTCATATTATATTGTGATAAATTTCTCACTAAACATAACATAAAAATTTATTTTTACAACTTTTAAAACTTAATAATTATAGTAAAAAATAAATTTAACATTTCAAATATTATTATGTATTGGAACAAAAAAAATGACATATCATATCACATTTTTTAATGCTAAATATAAATTGACATTATTATTTATAACGGAGATGGTCTTAGAAAATAGCAGAACACAAAAGATGCTAAAAGTAAGATATAATTCTCATCATCATCAAAAAGGATATTATTTTGGATGAGATCGATCAACTGACCAACTATAATGGTATGAAATTCTTATCAAAGCAAATTGGGGTTTAAATAATTTAACCCTAAACCCCTCCTATCTGTAATTGATTTAAGTAAGAAATATCAGAGAACTACTACTTTACAGTTGCTCAACATGGTTAGTTATCTCTTCCGGGCAAGATTGGGCTTGAAGAAGCTCTAGACGGTTGAAAGGCGGAGCGAACTGCAATATGTAATTCTCATCTGAAAACAGACAGTTGTAATATTAATAACGATCCAAAAATATGTTTATCCACGTTAATTGGTGAAAATAGGAAAGAGAATTAAGCTAATACAACAATTTGTAAAACTCTTCTAACAAGCATTTCTATGGTAAGCTCCTATAAAATTATCTATGGTTTTTTAATGTAGATTGGAGAAAAGTAGAAATTAAGAATAAGAAACTCACTCTCTTTAACTGTTCCATAGAGCCAGCACAACACCTCATCAGCAAATGCTAGGCAAACTCCTCCCTGCAAACCAGTTTAACATATTCTATATTCACCATTTATTATTAGTAATAATCACAACACGAATAACTTTAAAATAAAACGAATAATTCGATTCTATGCGCAAGTGACATCCACCTATCTGAGGAAAAGAGTGAGAGCGCGAGAGAGGAAGGGACAGAGAGGGAGGGACGGAGATTAGCTTGAATAACTAACAAAAGTGATGAGTTTTATTTCATTCTACGCGTGACATCTTGGTCTCTGAGAAAGAGAGAGACTAGGATAACTTCTAGTCTCTAATTAGTAAAACCAATCATGAGAGAGATTCTCTTCAAGATTAAACCAAACGATTTTTGGTGTGTCGTAGGAATCCAATTAGTAAAACCAATCAATGATTATCCTTCCTGTTTTTGTAATCACTTCAGAGAACCAAAGTGGTGGAGACCAAATCCAACAATTTTGAAGCAGGGAAGGAAGAAGAAAGAGTAATGTTGGTAGCTTGATGTACATACAATTTGCAGTAATTTGCAGAAAAATACCTGCCAATAGTTCTTCATTTTCACTCTCTGCGTTACATCTTTGGTTCTAAGTCTCTCCGTGCGCACAAGTCGGCCCCTATCATCTCTGCACAAAACCAAGACATCTTCTCAACTGAACAAAAATTTATGAATAGAAATTAATTCTCAAATGTTCACTGTGTGGGTTGGCCTGGCGGTTGGGAGCTCAAAGTAAGATGAGAGCGATGATATTGACCATTGCGAAGATTGTGAAAAGCAGTTGGTGAAGATATGGAAAGAACTGATGTTTTATCCCTCTCCCTAACAAACCTCACCAAACCATTTTTTTGATTCATATGACATTCAATTACAATCGATGTTCTGTATATGCGTACAGTAGTCCATCCAGTAAAAACGCGAAAGTACCTAAATCCAATAACAATATAAGAGACGCCAGCTAAGAACGATTGAATCTGTAGTTAAAAAAATACCAAAGAAAAAAAAAAGGCAAGTTAGGAACTGTAAAGATGAGAGAAAGTAACAGATAAATAAGAAGATACACAACAAAAGCCTAATATAGAATATGACCCATAACATTACGGAAAAACACACATACCCAGATCCTGAGAAGTTTTTCCCTCTCGTATCTTTCCTCAGTATGATAATCCAACTGCAAAGAAAGCAATACTCGCAAACGATCAGTTGTCATATGGTGAGAGACTGGCAACCTGAAGAACACAGGAAACAGGGAATAATACACTGAGATAAACTGTTTAACAACCTCACGATTTGTCTTTAACTCAACATAAAATCTCCTTCCATCATCAGTTGAATCACAGCAATCCATTTCGGCACCCATCAGAATACGATGAGCCCCTAGTTTTGTTTTAATTACAGAACAATATTCAACATTGGCATCAACATGATGTATTCCTTCTCCATCAGCTCTTCTTGGATCTTCAGTGGCAAGGCTCTCAAAACAGTATCCCCAATAACATCTATATTGAAAAGACAAGATTATGTAGATCACAATACATTTGTGATTAAACATAAAAGAAATAAGGGTAATGAACAAGAAATGTCTGGGAGGTTAGCAACAAAGTCTGCCTAAAATATCGCTCAACAATTGCTACAGATCTCAAATTATGGTACTCATATGACTCCCATATATAAGATAGAAGTTTGCTATACAGTACTTACACTTAATAATTTCATCTTCCTAAACTCAATACAGCATTGATTTCGTAGTTTTGTTGATATGATAATGACAGCAGTTTCCTACTCGCTCCCTTGTTACTTTTAACTTCCACTTGAGCTTTCTATATAGATTCAATACAACAATGATTTCATAGTCGTTGAAATTAACACCCTAATAACATGCAGTATCACGGGGAGCCATTTCTTAAGGATATGTGAAAGTCCAGTACCTTCGGCGTTCTAACTCGCTTTGTGGTCTTTCTGGTAATTTATGAACATCCAGATATACAACTCCATTCCTTTTGTGCACTCCCATCTCCCATGGCTCATGACGAATATAGGCAGTTGCCAGTATCTGCAAAAAATAGAGTAGTTACTATAAGATGCTGTTTAGCAAGTAAAAACAATCGCCCAATTTTAAAGTTACACAAAAGTCACTCTCTCTCTCTTCCGTGTTTCTTTTATGGACTCCTCATCTTAAAATATCATACAGAAAAACGGCTTTTCTCTATTTGAAATCCCTATATCTTAATCCTACGTAAAGGAATCAAAATACTTTATCAGTAACTTGCGACTATCACCAAACATAAGTCACTCAATGATCCATTGAAGAATTGGTTTCTTATCTAGAAACTTAAAAAAAATACATTCTCCTTACATAACTAGAAAAACAAAATGTCCAATATAGATTCACAATTTGTGGAAGTTATCCACCAAAACTATGGAATAAAATAAAGTCAGTAAGAATTTGATAAGGAATTGGCGACTACCTTATTAAGGTTGTTACGGAAAGTCTGTCAACACACAACAAAAGAAAAAACTTATCAATAACCAATAAATTATTAAGTAATGAAAGAAAAAAAAAAAAACATAAGATAAATTAGTGTCGCACCACAAAATGAATGTTTTGAAGTGGAATATTTTTGTCTCTTATGCAGGCAAGAAGGTCACCAAAACCTTGCGATCCCAATTCTGGTTTAGAGGAAAAAACACAGGGTTGCCTGCAAATATCAGCACCTCACATGCATAACCCCAAGGGAATGCATATGCAAAGATAAAAAATGAATCTTTTTTTCTGTATGTTAAACTTTTTCATATCTCATTAGCCTAAAAGTTTGTGGCATCCTCCAGACATAGTTTGTACCTTTTTTCTCAATAAAAGTATCAAAACCCTGATTAAGATCAGCTCCAACGTCTTCAGTAATAAGCCGCTTGAAAAGCCTCTGAAATGAGGAAGGATCCATGTGAAAATGCTCACATTCAGCAGAAGATTGTAATAAATATGCAGTCAGCATAGATGAGGCAGCACATCAATAAAAATACTCTTACCAAGCTGCGATCATCAAAGAAGACATCACCACCTTCTACCCGACTATAACACGCAACTTCACATGGCTATTGGATAAAATTAGCTTGTCAGCAAAATATTCAGGTAAATAACAGGAGAGAATAATTTACAAGGCAGGGACCAAGTTCCCAAATATGATTTACCAAAAAGTAGCTAATAAACATGTAAGGTCCTATTGTAGTTTTTAAAAACAAGTTGCCACATAAGGGATATATGAATTTTGTAAATATAACCCTACCACTAATGACAAATAACATACCTTGCCTCAGCCATTCAATGAAAGACAATAGCAAGATAGAATTGAGTGGATATGTCCATGATTGGAAAACCAAAGCACACAAAATGATACTCAAAGAAAGAACAAAAGAAAATGGAATAAGAAAACACTCGACTTACTTCCTGAAAAGCAATACATTTTCTTGATAATGTTTCTTCACTTTTTGAAAGTTTTAATTCTGAAACAAAGCGTTCATCATGACGAGGATTAGAGAACTTTGAACCATAACCAAAGTTCTGCCTCTGAGGATAAGGCCCGGGTCGGGGAAGTAGGCCTGCTCCTCTATCATTTTGATGCCATCGACCACGACCAAAATTCCCTCTACCAGGGTTGTTATTGTTGCGTATCACAGGCAAAACTGAATTGTAAAGCAAAATTTAGATTCTGAGGGAAAGAAAAAAAATCATTTTCCAGTAAACTGCAACCAACAAACTAATTAGAAACATAATTAAATCAAGGAGAATATTGAGACTAAAAATGCCCAATATCAATTATCATGTTTACAGCAACGTCATCTTAATAGTAATAATTCTAGCCAGATTAAGCATTAAGAACAGTCTCATTAACAAAGACAAATTTTCAATGAAGTGCAATTAAAGTACACTACCTGAAAATACAATCAGTTTAAAGGGAATTTCAAGATTAAGGCCCCGTTCATTTCGCCGATTCGAGTTTAGAATTCGAGTTTTGTTACAGTAAAAAGCTCTCAGAAACAGTCACATCTAACTTTTTTGCTACAGTAAAAATCCCTCACACAAAATCACATCTTAACTCGAATTACAAACTCGAATCAACGAAGTGAATGGGCCCTTACACTACTCATGCAAGTACGTCTTCATAGTAATAATTCTAGTCAAATTAAGCATTAAGACCTACAAATTAACAATAAATTCCTAAAAAGAAATAGCATATTAAACATTTTTTGAGCTTACAATAGTCAAAAGACAAGAAGGAAGGAAATTCAGCTAAGCAACAAATTACTAAAAGATACAAGAGAAATTAACCCCCAAAAAAAAAAAAAAAAAGCTACAATTAACAAAACCACCACCGCAAAGAAGTCAAAACCCTAAATATGGAGACAAAGGAATAGACCATTTGTTCGCCCCAAAAACGAAGAATTGAAACCTTTACCAACCAGAGAATCATCCACAAGAAATGGACAAGAAATTTACCAGGAATCGGGTAAGGACTAGTGGCTAGGGTTTTGCAGTAATCCTCGTTATCTGAGCCAAATAGATCCTTCTCTTCTTCGTAGGCATAGTGAGACCTATCACTGTTGCTATTGTTGTTGTTGATACTGTCGACCTCCTCTCCATTCCCCTCCTCTCCTTCACTGGCGCTTCCGCCGCTGCTACTCTGATCGCCGCCGTCGCTGCCGTTAGACGACGATGAAGCCGCCGCCGACGACGAGGACGACGAAGAGGCCGCCGATGAGGACGACGGCGACGACGGGGAGGAGGAGCGGTTGCCGTGTCTGGTGTCGTCCTTGTCTTGGTCGTCTTCGTGCTCTTCGCCGAAGATATCGACGTCTTGTTCGGGGAAATCCATGATCGGAAATAGAGGCGTCTCCGAGAAGATTTCTCGGCGAGTTTCAAAAAGAAAGAAAAGTAGGTTCTTCTGCTTCAGTTTCCCTTCTGATTTTGTCTGTGAAGCAAACTACTGAAGCTTTTAGTTAAGGGAGTTTTTGGCCTGATTCGCCGATTTAAATATGAACGTAATTTTGTGTGAAAATTTTTAATTATAATAAAAAAATTAAATAAAATTTTTAATTGTAATAAAATTATTAAAAACTTAAATTGATGAACTGTTTTTACAAAATTTTATAATACAATAAATTATTATTAATCTTTAAATATTATTTTTTTATTTTAAATATTATTTTTTTATTTGTACCTTTCAAAATAGATCTAATTAAACATTAGTCAAACGCATAATAGATCTAATATTTGGAAAATGTTTGAAAAAATTGATTGCCTAAATAACGATCCTTTTATTAATCATGATTGTTTGATCAAAAAATAGATCAATTTATTACCCAATACACAAATTAATGATCGATTCCATGTTGTTTTATCACCAACATCCAGTTCACAAAACTTCTTGTAAAATGTTACCACCGAATATAATTATACAAAAATCGATTGCGTAAATAATGATTCTTTTATTAATCATGTTTGTTTGATCCAAAAATAGATCAGTTGATTACCCCAACACACAAATTAATGATCAATTCCATGTTGTTTTATCACCAACAATATTCTGTTCCTAAAAATTATTGTAAAATATTACCACCAAAAATGATTATGCAAAAATCGATTTCCTAAATAACGATCCATTTACTCCTTTTAACTTTATTTGGAACTCAAATCGCCAACCCCAAGTCTAGAAAACAACAACAATAACAACAACAACAACAACATTTTTGAAACTATCATACATTAACAAAGTATGTCATGAAGGTACAATAATTTAAACTATCAAAATAATTCCCATCAAAGCAAAAGGTCGTAGTAGGTCAAAGCATGAAGTAATAGGTCAAAGCAAAAGGTTGTAGTAGTCCCATCATTAGGCTTCGGCCCAGTAGCCGTCTTCAGGGGAAATAGCTGAACTGACTTGGGCCACAGGCACTTCTGACTCAATCGTATGTATATTTGTTTCTTCTTGATCATGGGTAAGATTGGAACTTATGTGGAGATTCACGTTCCAAACAGGTAAAGCGTCGCCAAAGAGTCTGATAATATTGACACAACCGAGAAAGCGGCTGAACATCAATATAGCAGGATACAGAAACCAGAAAAGAGCCTGGGGAAAGAGGAGGGAACACACAAGTGAGAGAGCGATGTGACGAGAAAAATTCGGGAATTGGAAGCGAATGGCGGCTGCAGGACGAGCGAGAGACAAAGTAATGGAAGTGAAAGAGGGGAGGAGAAATAGGAAAACGTGGACGCATTTCTGGGTCCAAGTGGTTTGGTTGGGATCTTTCAGAAGGCTAAAAGCATCCCAACCCCAAGGAAGAGCTCCTGATTGGGATTTGAACCAGTTTGTGAAGATTGGAATGGTGTATCTTAGATCAAAGCCTCTCATTTTTGCAAATTTGGAATTCTTCTGTGCGGATGACTTATAAGAGTATGATGGGGCTATTTATGGAAAGGCATTTGCCTCTATTTATACAAGTTTTTGCAGCAAACTATTCATACAAAAGCTCTGCAGGAAATTCTGGCCCCGTTCACTTCGTTGATTCGAGTTTAGAATTTGAATTTTTTTACAGTAAAATTTACAGAAGTTTTCTATTGTGATGAGATGGGCCCTATTTACCCTATTGTGATGGGCCCCATGGTTCATTAAACGCTTTTTTTACGGATGTTATGTTCATTAAACTCTTTTGTAGGGATGCTATGTTCATTAAACGCTTTTGCAGATTCACAAAAGTTTTCCGTGATGGGCCCCATGGTTTTTGCAGGAATGATAGGCCCGATGGTGTAAAACTTTTTGTAGAAATGATGTTTTCGCAGGAAACTGCCTAGTGTGACGGGCCTAATCAATTTAGGAGGGGACCAAACGAAGGATGAGTTTTCCACGCAGATCCCTCAATGGATGGTCAAAGCCGCTCATTCTTGCAAATTTGGACACCTGAGTAGGGTTGTTCGTAAACTCACAGACACAACTCACTCTACTCTAATTTAATTTAAAAAATGTAATTTTTAATGTTAATTTTTTTTTTGTGTGGCTCATTCAGTATCTGGCCTGAAATTTTAGGACGGGGTATAAATTAAGCTTATAATGGCCTGCACACTCTAACATAACTCGCGCTCTAACTTGTCTCATTTAATATCTAACTATAGACAGACAACTCATTTCTACTCTCTAGTTTCTTCATGTTTGAATTAAGCTTCTATGTTTGTTTTATGTTAAGACAAATTTATATTTGCTTTATGTTTGATGTTGGACGAACTACTTTGCTTCATGTTTGATGTTGGATTGAATTTTGAGTATTTGATTCTTTGAATATTGAAACTGACCACCCAACCCACCCCGCACCGCCATAACCCAACCCAAACATCATTGGGTTGTGAAAATTTTCTAACATTATTGGGGCTAAATATGTGCAACCCGTACCCTTTAAGATGGGAGAAGAAAAAACCTTACTCCGCACCAATCCAACCCATAAACAACCCTATATCTGAGATCAAAGCGGCTCATTCTTGCAAATTTTAGAATTCTCCTTTGTGGATGAGTTATAGAGCATGATCCGATATTTATAAGACCCCGCGAACCCAACGAAGGCCTTTTTCCACGCGGTCATTCTCAACCTTACGTTTTGTGCAGTATATTTATATATATATATTGACATATATCGATCGCTTTCATAAGCAAGTGCAGTATATTTATATATATATATATATATATATTGTAGGAAAATATGCGCTGACACGTCGAACAACGGCCATGCCCCACGTGACCCTATGTTTACCACGTCAGATAGCTGTCGGCACCTAAAAGCTCATTTTCCCTCCATCTGGTGAAGAGGCCGACTGTAAGGAGCGATTCATGAGGGCGTCAAAACTACATATGGTCGATCGAGACAGAGGCCGCACCCCGAGAGGAAGTGTAGGCGCAGAAGGAAGAACACAGGCAAATGGGTCCGCATCCCAAGAAAGACCTCCGATGTGACAAGTTGAAGATCCTAAGGTTGCGTTTGGGTTTGGAGAAGGACAGTAGCACAAAAAATGATTACAAGCCCCTAAACCGCTAGGAACAGACCAATGGAAATCCCAAAGGATCTGCCGAGCCGTAATAGGGGACAAATTGGATGAGTGAACAGTCTAAAAGGTGCTAAGAAGCTACGGTCTCGGCAAGTAGGATAATAGGTTACTTCAGAGAAACCACCATTAGACCCCCTGTGACAGTCCATCTTAAAAGGATCCACATGCAATTCGTGGGCTATAGAAAGGGCCAAAGCTTCAGAGAGGAAAAAGGAGATTTTTTTGTGTAACCTGAGAAGAACCAAAAAGAAATACTATATGCAGTGGATGTAGCTCTAATTTACAGAGTGAACCACTATAAACTCGTGTGTCTCTTTACTTCCATTCAAGCATCATATCAATACTGTTCACAATATACTTCTAAAACAAACAGCTAGTTGCAAAAATATGAAAATATAACAACTTTAGGCCGATAATACCGAGAGGTAACCCGGAGTAATCTTGTTGACAAAATTTCACCGTCAACAATTGGCGACTCCACTGGGGAACGAACCTAGAATCTCTGGTTCGTGTGTTTAGGACCCAAGACAACTAAGAAGTAACCAACGATCACGCCTTTGAGAAGAAGAAATGGCGCTGCAAACCAAGGCAGCCAAATGGAGGAAAACACCATGCATCCAACCAACGGCGGGAGCAGAAGAGATGAGCCCGACTAGGGAAATCAACCTAGTATTGATGCCTAAAAATTCACCTAAATTTTCTAAACCACTTTCTAAACCTTCTAATTTTAATCTAGGATAAAAAATAGTACCTAAGCCATACAACAAAGGCAACTTAGACCAATATTTTTTTAATTTTTTTTTCCATAGAATGAATATGAACTTCTAAGATATAAAATACTATTCTTTTATCTAAATCAAATCCTAATATTCTTTTATCAAAATTAAATCCTTTAAAGTAATGTCCAATTACAGCTAAATAATCTTTATTGGCAAAGGCAGAGCAAATATCTACCGTTAACGCAACGCACCCGCTAGTCAAGTGTAAAAGGTTTATTAATGCTTCTTTTTCTTTTTTAAATAATTTTAATAAATCTTTCCTAATAGTAGTTTTTGAAGTGAATTGTGCATTAGGATTATGTACAACCTTAATATATCGTTACCAATTAGGATGCTCTACAAAACTAAGTGGTTGATCTAAAGCAGCTATCATTTGTGCAACTTCCATTCGATCTACGTGCGGATCGTATTTCCAAGTGGTTAGACCATCGGTTGCACGATCAAAAGATAATTGTGCTTGGCAGAGTTCGGATTGGCTAAGCTTTTGAAGACACTTTTCAGAGTGTCTTTTCAAGTGTGTGGTGCCGTGAATAGTGTCACCTTATAATTTAGATAAATAATATTTACACTGAGCTATATGCTTAGTGTTACCTTCATTGTCGATCTCATCAATTATATCGAAGTGATCCCAAAATGTCGAGGTGCGCTTGCATTTCCTCCTAGAGGTTGCAACACTTGTAGACGCAGTCGCACTAGCACTCGTCGCCTCCACACCCACCACCATTACGACCACGACCTCCAGTATGTCCACCAGGGCTCGGATTAGTAGATTCCTGCGTAACAAATTCATTAGTAGGAAATTGCCCTTCTTCCATGTTATGTTGGGCATCAACGGGGATATCACTATAACCAAAAGGATCCATTATAAAAAAGTAAAAGCGATTTGAGAGAGAGAGCTTTAGGATAATGTGATAGTTTATGGAAAAATTTTGAAAGAGATTTGAGAGAAATTGAGAGAGATTGAGAGAAATTGAGAGGGATTGAGAGAGTTTGAGTGAGAAAAATGTGTGGAGGATGAGGGTATTTATAGAGAAATTTTTGGGTTAAAAAATTGATTTTTTTTTCAAAAAAATGGAGGTGCAACAGCTCGTTAGAGTTCTGAGGGTCGGGTTCGGGCCACTTCGGGTGGGTTCGGGCGACAACGGG